TCGAAATTATCGGATTGAGCCGAACGGTTGAAGCGAAAGATTCCTGCAGAATCGATACCGCGTGCGATTATAACTCCGTGCCGATGCGAATTCTGGTGTTCTACGTACTGGGTACGCTGCTTCTCATTATGTCTATCTACCCGTGGATCCAGGTTGGCCACTTGCAAGGATATGCCCGTTCGTGCTGACGTTTCCAGCATAAATGGGGCAATTACCGTGTGGCCGCAAAAAGCAATTCTTAACTTTGTTGTGCTGGACTGCTTCGGCTGTAAGCGCAATTAAACAGTGATGTATTTTGGCGTAGCCGTATTGCTCCACGGTATGGCAGAAAAGCCAGAGTGAGCGAGGCAACGGCAAGCGCGCCAAAATTAATCAGCAAAACGTCGCGGTCGCGGTATTCCGTGGGTTACGAGTGCTCTAGGTGATGACCTACCGCGCTTGCTGTTTGCGGTGTATCAGAACTTACAATCATTGCCGCGAAAACGCTTCTAAAACCATGGTTGATCGCTTCGCTTGGCAACCTATCGCCACGTATTGGGGTATGTGTGGACTATGATACATGACAATGTCGCCCAAATTGCACGTTTCCGTATCGGCGTTCCCCAAGCGCCAGAACGAAGTTAAAAGGCGCCCGAAATTTAAACATGCCGGGTGGCGGGTACGCACCCACGACATCAGGCGCGGCTGATTTTCATCATGTCCCTCCTTTATTATCGGGTTGATTGGTTATCACCCGGATACGCGTTACGTACTCGCAAATGATATGTCGCGTTATCGCGTGGATTGTTCGTCTGTTGATTGCGCCTGGATGAATTGTTAAGCGCGCCACGAATAGTCGTCCAGCTGAGCTGAAACCAAATAAAAACTTAGCGGTTCTGTAAAAGCCGCCCGTTCAGGAAGAAAATCCTGATCCGGCTATTCCGGACAATTGTTATCCAGCCCCCGTCCTCCGCCCGCCGCAAATTATCCTGTCAAGGATGAGATGGTGTGTACCGGAAAGCGCGACCCTGGTCAGTGATATTCCGATGCATAATTTAGGGCACGCAGGTATATGGCCAAAGCGTTCGAGTTCTTGTGATAAGGGTGATCCAGATTTAAGTTCCACCTGTCACCGAGGGGAGAGAGGAGCGACGAAATTCCCCCATGATTGTATATAATGCAGCGGCCAGAAACGCTGCCGTGTGCCCCCCATTTGGTTAACGCAAAAGCAAAATGAGTCAACAATGCTCATAACACTTGCTGGTACGGGGCGGAAATAGACCACCAGTCGTCAGCACGGATTATGCCTGCCACGACAGTACTCGGTTACAGAGAACCTAAACCTAAAAGATAACGAAGAAATGTGCGAAGAAGAAGAGAGTAACCAATGCGCATAAGCAGCACCGCGCAGTCACGCCGCAGCCAGCAGGGCGCTCACCGCATGGCGCTTATCAGCCCGCGAGATGCCCCAGAGCGAATTGATTCCGCCTGCTCTCCAAGCGGAAACAACCCCGGAGGGCTCTACCAGTTTGCAAACGTAGCGAGAAGAAAAGGTGAGAAATAGAAGAGAGAGGAGAGAAAATGGACCAGCGAAAGTCCCGACCCAGGGTTGGTTGATACAGAAACGCGCAGGGCTTGCAGGAGCGAACGCGAAATTGCCGCCGGCACCGAACTGGAGCCAGAGTTTGGCGCAGGTGTCGCAGAGAGAGAGAGATGTACCGGAGATTATCGGAGGAGAGAGAGGCAACTCAGCAATGGAAGGAACGAGCTGAGCGATGGATCAGATTGGTTATCAGAATCTTCCTACTGAAAGGATCGGTTTTGCGCCCACGTTAGTCTTCCTCGTGAGGACTGAACAGGATCATGTCATCGGAAGAGAGTCATTACCATTCAATGACAAAAGGGACCGGACAAGAGATCTCTGCGTGTGTACTGGGGCAGAAATGAAAGCCGGTCACGGGAACGCGAAGGAAGCGGTGGCGCGGGGAAATTGAATGGAAGAGTGAGAGGGGACGGAGAAAGTACAACGACGTTCTAGTGCGGGACGATCTGGGAACGGGATAAGCGAAGAAAAGCGTGACGTATCTGAAAAAAGCTTAGGAGCGTGGACACGCTGGTGAGATCTCAATCCTGGTGTAAAGCTCCCAGCGTACATTAAATACGATACCGGAGGATTATCGCGGCATGTCGAGCCGCGGATTGCAGATGTAAGGATGATGAGGGGAGGGCGTTGATGCGATAGTATTGCAGACGAACAAATAACTGCTAAGCGCAGTCATCAGAGAATGCGGGCTGCATCTGGTGTAAATAGACTGAGAGCGGGAAAGAAGGAAACATAGACATGACAAGCAGGCCCGGTCTGTTGTATGACTAAGGCAATGGACTAGTTAGGGAAGCAAGCAAAGGAGAGAGAGAAAGATGAAGAGATGAGACGACGGCGCCCGGGATACCATATTTCGAACCAGCCGGGCGCACCATGAGACGACAAGTGTTAAGAGCAGACAGAACAGTGGTGGCGAGAATTCCCAGAAGTGCCTGGAGTTAAAGAGCAAGGCACTAATTCGCTGGCCACGGGGGGAGAAGGATGATCCCATCAACAAACCCGCAAAATATGCCCCTGAGAGCGCGACTGAGACCCCTGAGACCGACCCAAAAGGGAGAGGAGAGCCCAGAAGATGGTGAGAACTCGATATTGAAGTGTATAGAGTGGAGCGCCCGAGGCAGACTAGACCACTGGCAAATTCGGCACTATGCCAGCTTGCCCGAAGCTGGATTATCCGAGTCGGAAAGTCTGGGTGAAGAAAGTTATATCGCGAGAGGAGATGAAATTCCCCGCGAAGGAGTAGATCACCTTGCAGAGATGCCGAGTGACCGGAGGGAGCAACCAGACGGAAGCCATTTGACGATAGGGGATGATGAGAGAACGGGAGAAAGAGAGAGAGGAAATCTGGAGGAAGAGAATTATCGAGAAGGGCCGCCAATGGTGTGGGGCAGTAAAGACATGGAACCAGGGGACGGGAGGGACTTGAGACGTAGGAAGAGCACGAGAGAGACGAGAGGAAGGGAGGAGAGAGTAGAAGATCAGAAAGAGAGAGAGAGATGAGAGAGAGAAGAGAAGAGAGAAGAGAGAGAGAGAATGAGAGAGAGAGAGAGAGAGAGAGAGAGAGAACCAGAAAAAGAACACACACACACACATACACACACACACACACACACACACACACACACACACGGCACACACAACACAGAGAGAGAGAGAAGAGAGAGAGAGAGAGAGAGAGAGAGAGAGAGAGAGAGAGAGAGAGAGAGAGAGAGAGAGAGAGAGAGAGAGAGAGAGAGAGAGAGAGAGAAATTACTTGCATGTCTCATTGACCTGAGTCATCGAGAAGAATTTAATATGATTACGCAAAGGTGGACACACATACACAATATATGTGTGTATATTTGAATATATATATTATACATACACACACACACACACACACACACACACACACACACACACACACACACACACACACACACACCACACACACACACACACACACACACACACACACACACACACACACACACACACACACACGCACACACACACACACACATAACATATATATATATATATATATGTGTGTGTGTGTGTATATATGTCTCTCTCTCTCTCTCTCTCTCTCTTCTCTCTCTCTCTCTCTCTCTCTTCTCTCTCTCTCTCTCTCTCTCTCTATATATATATATATATAATATATATATATATTATATATATATATATATAAACATCTTTTGTGTGTATAATGATAATTTCTAATATCAACTTTTTAAAGTTTTCATCTCGCCATTTTAATTTTTAGTATAAACATTTTTTTTTCTGATTGCGTGTATGTATAATGAAGGATTGGAGAATAGTGAATGCACTGTACAAAATCCTTGGCCAGTTTCAAACACAAATTAGATTTAAGAATCACAATTTTTCATGACTGTATTTGTTTAATTGTATTTTTTATTTTTTTTTTGTTCTGTTTTGTGAAATTTATTTATATTCTCCTATTGTGTTATTTACTTTTAGATTTTTTCTCATCATTTCATTGCAGATAAAGTGTTTTTGTCTTTTTCTGTGTCTAGAAAAACTGCAATACCACTACTATGTTCTTTAAGAAAATATTTGGTAATGTTCTGATAATGAAAATAAATATGATTAACCTTTTCTTTTTATATCTTTTTATCTGCTTCAATAATAACCAACATGAACAAATACAGTTATATCAACCTTGTCACATTTTGTTCTTAGTCAAACTACATTCAAAAAAGTTCCAAAAAATAGCAAAAAAAAGAACAAATCTCAGAGACGGTTAAGAGAATATAGTAAGAAAAAGATAAAAACAAAATATAGTTATTCCTAACAGAAAGAGAGGAGAGAAACATTAAAAATGAAAGACTAAATACATGATAACGATGACCACATTAAGAAAAATCATATATAATCAAATTTCTAAGATAAAGAACAAGTGCAATAAATAACTGACAATAAGAAATATAACAAGACAAAGAAAGAAGGAGATTATTAAAAAAAGGGCAAGAAATGATAATTAAAATAAAAATAAAAAGATTAGTCGAAAGTTCATTATATATAACAAAGCGATACAGTTTTGAATATTGAAACAAACAAACAAATACATGATCTCAGTAACTAACACTCTATTTGCATATACATCTTAATCCACAATCGCTCTCTATTTTCACAACACATCAAACACCAAAAAAAAAAAAAAAAAAAAAAGAAAAAAATCTCAAAAAAAGAAAAAAAAAATACAAATACAAACAAACAAAAAAAAGTTGAAGCAAGAAGGACAAAGACAACAAACACATGACTGATGCTGAAGAGGTTTATTTGTCGATCTATCTCAGTCCATCTCTTCTAGAAAACCTAATTTACACCAATAAGTCTATCAAGCCAGAGAAGGACCTGGGGTTAATCCAAGCAGGCGGGCAGGTAGGTGGACGAAGAAAATAATAAAAGAGAAGGATTTTTTGTTTTTTTTAAACCATTGTTCGAGAAACAGTTTAAGATGCTATCGTTTGGCGTATATCTACCGTCCCACAACCACTTTACATTGTAATTCTACTTTGAAAACCGCCACATACTTAACTATGGGGATCGGAGATATGGGGTCTCCATGGGAAGGCAGTGTATATTATATCTATATAAAAAAAGATATATATATATATGACATTCTGAAAAGGACAATAACAACAATGAAAATGCCGAGCAGGCTCATATTTTCCCTTTTTTTTCCTGAAAAGTTTTGTTTGTTTTCCTTCAGAGGCAGCACAAGATCAACGTCCCCATAGCCATATCTCCAAGCTTCCGGTATCTACATGACAATATTGAATTTAGTGATTAACGTGTGAATACCTAAGTACATGCTCTAAACTGTGACCATTTTCTATGAAGTAAGGCTGTGCTTGAAAGAAAACGATTCGAGACTGCCCGTGTCCAATATCATGCGTAGAGTCGTCAACTTTTCTTTTCGCAATAATTATCAATACACTAGTATTCTTGTTTTGTGTTATGTCTTGTTGTATATATATAATGTATATATTCTCGTTTATTATATTTTTTTCGTTTTTTTTTTTTTAATTGTGGAAGAGTAAAATGAAGTATACCTACACGTACGAGTTGGAAAAATAGGAGATGTTGTTATTCACAAAAAGTTATCCCTTAAGCGCGATTATGTTCGGTGTTGACAGTACCAGTGTGTTATAATGATAAAAAAAGGCCTATTCGTTTCCCCTTTTGTCTGTCTATGGTGCGCTAAGATCCCAAAAAATTAAGAAAAAAAGATAAAAAATAACTACAGCTGTAAATTAGTGTATTCATCATCTATTTCTCTAAGTAAGTAATGCACCAAGCATCTTTTCTGACGATGAAACTCAAATTTTACAGAAATGTCGTTTGTCAAGAGTTAGATGTGTATACCTATTTGTGATTTTTTTTTTGTATTTTTTAATGTTTTTTTGTGTGTTTATATGTTTGTTAGGTCCCTTTCTAAAACCTCAGTGTGTCGATGTTTTTTTTTTTTTTTTTTTTTTTTTTTTTTAACAGCTATAGGCCTTATTGAAATTGCTATTCGTTTTTTTATCGCTGAATATTACGTGGTCTTACACTTGCTCACTCTTGTTCTTCTTTCTGCTTCTTCTCTCTGCCTCTTTCCTTCTTTCTCTCTTCCCTATCCTTCGTTCTTCCGCGGTTTCGTTATTCCCCCTTCGCATCTCTTCATCTCGTCTCTTTCCCTCTCTCTCTCTTGCTCTTCTCTCTGCCTCTCGCACTCGTCTTCCCTTTGGTCTTTCTCTCTTCTCTCTGTCTCGCCTGCTTTCTTCTCTTTCCCTTCCTCTTTCTTTCTTTCTTTCGCGCACAGCTGCTGGGTGTCGGTTCGTGGCCTTGGCGCTGATGTGATGGCGTGTCGGTAAGTCCCTCGTATGGTCCTGCAGGAGACTTTGTGCTGCGTGTTCATAGGGCTTCACACTTGTCTGCTTGTGTTCTTTTCTTTGATTCATTTTTTTTTGGGTATATGTTTTTTTTTCGGTTTATTTTTATGTTTTTGTCTTCGTTCTTCTCCCCCCGTTTCGTTTATTTTCGTCATCATTTGTTTTGTTTTTTTTTCTTCTGTCTACTGCTGCTGCTGCTGCTGCGTCTTCGTCAGCGTCTGTCTTCGGGACGCAGGTCGGGCGTCGACGCTGGTTTTTCTTCTTGAAATGTTTGCTTGCTTGTTTGTTTGCGTTTCCCCTTCGTCTGAATGGTTCTCGCCCTCGTTTCGTCGCGTGTGTGATGGTTCTCGCTTACCTCGCTCTCATCAGGCTGCTTCCAAGGGGGAGGGGTGTGATGGGGTGGGTGGGGGTGGGGGTTGGAGGGGGTGTTGAGAAAAGGAACATCAGAGAAAAGAAGAGAGGGCAGATCCACACCAGCGAGACCTCTTCCTTCTCCTCGGTGTCGCGCCGCCGGAAGGCCGTCTAGTCGCGGATGGTCAGCTTGCGAGAGCCGGTGATGTCGTGGAGCTGCCTGGAGGTGAAGGCGGCGACGAGGCGGCGGTCCCCGGAGCGGCGAGGAACGAAGGTCTGTGTGTAGGTGAAGGTCTCCCTTGGCCGGACCTCGCGGTTGACGCGCATGGTCCTGGGCCTGCAGGCGCCGCCGACCTCCATGCTGAAGAAGCAGTCCGTCAGGGGGACGTCCAGGGGGTTGCTGAAGGAGAAGGTTGCGGTGCACTCCTGGCCGACCTGGCACTCGGCGACCTGCGGGGGGGGGGCGGCGGAAGGGAGGGAAGGGGGAAAGGGAGGGGGAGGGGGGAATAGTAGATAGTATTAGTGCGAGTCATAAGATGGGTGTGTGTGATCGCCCATGCGTTAAGGCTGCAGCGAAGGAACGACCGCAGAAGGCCACAACGTTTGGCAGATCACAAGCACACTTAGAATATCAAAAACGCTGCGAATGATGACGACAACAAACAATAACAACCATGAATAACGAAGCAACAACGACAAAGACGCCCGAAGCCCCTTACCTCGATGCTCATCCTTGGCTTCTCGAACTGGAAGTCGTGCTCATCGATGTACGACTGCTTGTTCTCGTTCACGAAGCCCGAGGCCGTGACCTTGATGAAGCCCATGTCCACGAGGCGGTCCTGGTACTCGGAGGCGTCCAGTCTGAGGGTGAGGGTGTCACGCTGGCCGCCCGCGAGGGTGAACTGGCCGGTGACGCGCTTCAGGTGGGCGCCCATGACCCCGGTGTAGAAGGCGCTCCTGAGGGGGGCGGGGAAGGGGTGGTTAGGGGCTGGGGATGGGGCGGTTAGGGGCTGGGACGGCTGGTCCTCGTTTCAGGGACTGACAGGGTTGGCAAGGTCGAGGACAATACAGACATCTATTGGTAGACGAAGAAAAAGGAGGAAGAAAAAGAGCAACACGAAGGGGAAATGAAGAAGACAGAAAATAAGAGAAAGACAGGGAGTATGAAGACGAAGAAGAAGACGAATTTACAGCCTCGCCAAATGACCATGTGCAGACGGAGAAAGACGAATGAGAAGGATACAAAGAGAAGACAAAAAGGAAGATGAACCAAAAGCCCAAAATTAACCTTGTAAAATTAGAAAGAAAGGAAGAAGACGAAGATAACGACTCAAAAAAAAAAAAAAAAAAAAAAAAAAAAAACTCGGACAGAAAGAAAGAAAAAAAAGAAAAATAAAAAAAAAATAGATACGAAAAAGACGAAATCCCCCCAAATAACCCAGAAGAAAGAAAAAAAAAAGAAAAAAGAAAAAAAATAATCATAAACCCAAAGCAAAGGAACCAAAGATGCCACCCCCCCAAAAAAAAAGATAAATACCTAAATACAAAATAAAAAAAATCCCCCTAAAACTGACCTTGTAGAAATAGTCAAGAAAACCAAAAAAAGAAAGAAAAGAAAGAAAAAATAAATCATAAACCCAAAGCAAACGAACCGAAGATGACCCTCCCCTCCCCCCCCCCACTCAAAAAAAAAAAAAAACTAAATCCAAAATAAAAAAATCCCCTAAAAACTGACCTTGTCGAAATCGTCGCCTGGACGTGCGTGTCTCGCTGGAGTTGTTGTGGACCTGCAAAGTGACTGTCATGCTCTGCCCAGCGGCCACACGCTGCGGATCCACGAGCTCAAAGGTGACGTCATAGCTCCCCTGGTCCTGGGGGGGGAGGAGGAAGAGTTGCTTCAGGTACTGGTTCTGGGGGAGGGAAGGCCGGAGGAGACGAGTCGCGGTTCAGCACCTCTGCTTATTTAGTATTGAGTGGGTGGGTGGGGGTGGGTGGGGGAGAGTGTGAAGGGGGTGGGTGGGGAGAGGTGTGAAGGGGGATGGAGGAGGGTGCGAAGGGGAGAGAGTGTGAAGGGGGGGGGGAGTGTGAAGGTGGGAAGGCGTGAGGGGATGGAGGAGGGTGCGAAGGGAGAGTGTGAAGGGGGATGGGGAGGGTGTAGGGGTGTGGGGGATGGGGGAGAGTGTAGGATAGGTGTGTATAGGTGTAGGGGGTGGGGGATGGGGTGGGAGAGAGTGTATGAGGTTGGGGATTGGTGGGAGAAAGAATAGGGTAGGGGGGTGGGATAGGAGAGAGTGGATGAGGTTGGGGGTTGGTGGGAGAAAGAATGGGGTAGAGAGGTGGGGGGGAGAAAGAATAGAGTAGAGGGTGGGGGAGAAAATGTATGACGTAGGGGGTGGGTGGGGAGAGAATGTATGGGGATGGGGGTAGATGTGGGAGAAGATTTAGGGAAATAGGGGGATGGAGGGAGAGTAAATATGGAGGTAGGGTGATGGGATGGGGGGGAAATAGACAAGTAGGGGAGGAAGAGACAGAGGGGATTGGAAAATGGGTTGGGGGAGGGGGGGGGGCCAAGCGATTCAGCACCTGACTTCATTTAGGGGAGTGGGGAGTGAGTGGTAGGGTGGAAGGAAGTAAAAGTGGTAGAGAGAGAGGGAGGAATTAAAGGTAGGAGAAGAGGAAGTAAGAAGGAAAAGAAGGAGAGGAGAGGGAGGAAGAAAAGAGGAGGAGAAGGGGAGAAGAAAAGAAGGGAGGGAGAGGGAATAAGAAGGAAAAGAAGGGAGGGAGAAGAAGGAAGAAGGAAGAGGAGGGAGTAAGAAGGAAAAGAAGGAGAGTATGAGTGAAGACGTGATCTGACATTCTCGGTGTGAGGAGGTGGCAGGGAAGGGAGAAGGGAGGGGAGGGAAGGGGGAGGGAAGGGAAGGGAAGGGAAGGGAATAATATAGGGATGTGAAGGAGGAGATTGAAAAAAAGGACATTGGAGGGACGAACTAAAAGGGACTGATTGAATAAGGGAAAAAGGGGGAGGAGGAAATTAGGGAAAATTACGCCACGACGGAATTAGAGGGAAGGAGAAGGGAGAGATGGGGGAGAAGGGATAATGGGGAGCAATAATAATGGGGAAGAAGTGGGGAGGTGATGGTGATAACAGGGGAGAAGGGATAATGGGGAGCAATAATAATGGGGAAGAAGTGGGGAGGAGATGATGATAACAGGGGAGAAGGGAGAATGGGGGAGAGAAATAGAAGTGGGTAAGGAAAGGACAGACAGCAGGAAGGGAGAAAGGGAGATCAAGAAGGTGAAAGAAGAGAAAGACGTAGAGAGAGAATAAAAAAAAAAAGATCGAGAGAAAATGGGAGATTAAAGAGACGAAGATAGGTGGAATAGCAAGATAAAGGAAGAACGGAAAGAAAGGAATTTACATGATAATGAGAAGATAACGAAGAATACATAGACACAAGAATTATCAACCGAGAAGAATAAAGAATATCAAAAACAAAAACACAACGACAAACATATAAAAAAAAAAATAAATAAATACAAGACCATGAAACTATTAATAACTCTTTGCTTACGCTTCATAGAATAATAATAATAATAATAATAATAATAATGACAATAATAATAATAATAATAATAATAATAATAATGACAAAGTAAACAAACCGAAAACCAACACAAATCACTCGTATCACGTGTCCTCATTAAAAAGATATATATCCGGATCTTAGAAGAAGAAAATATAGATTTTTAGTACATTTCTTTTCCGATCTATATCATTACGGTGGACTGTGAGCTTGGCTTTTGATATATGATATATATTTTTTTTGATATATGATATTTTTTTTTTTTTTACTTAAATGCATTTCTATCCCTTAAATATATTTCTATATATATTTTTTTTACTTAAATGCATTTCTATCCCTTAAATATATTTCTATATATTTTTTTTACTTAAATGCATTTCTATCCCTTAAATATTTCTATATATTTTTTTTACTTAAATGCATTTCTATCCTTAAAATATATTTTCTATATATTTTTTTTTACTTAAATGCATTTCTATCCTTAATATATTCTATATATTTTTTTTACTTAAATGCATTTCTATCCCTAAATATTTTTCTATATATTTTTTTTTTACTTAAATGCATTTCTATCCTTAAATATATTTCTATATATATTTTTTTACTTAATGCATTTCTATCCTCTATATATATAAATGTATATATTATATTTTTTACTTAAATGCATTTCTATCCTTTTCATGTGTGGTGTTTATTGGTTCGTCTCAGAAGCTTAATTAGAACAAATACCTTTCTTTTGATAATTAAAAGATATACTTAGATATCTTTCTATGGCTTTTATTATTCGGTTGTCGGTTGATGTTTTTTATTTCTTTATCGTAACCAACATTATTTTTTTATTATCGTTATTGTTGTTGTTTTTGTTGTTATTGTATTTGTTATAATCATTATTACTTTATCATTATTATTTTTGTATTATTATGATTATCATTACTCTTATTATTACTATTATTGTTATCATTAGTACTATGATTATTATAAAATTTATTATTATCATCATCATTACCATCATCATCATCATTGTTATTATCTTTATTATTATTAGTATTACATTGTTACTATTGCTTCCATCATCGCATTACTGACATTACTTTCTTTATACTTTCTTCATTGCCGTTATTATGAACTTAGATAAAATCAATATCATCTTTATTATCGTTATCATCCTTATATTCCTAGTACGTGCTCAGGAAAATAATCAAAATAATTTCGGTCTATTACTCTGATATCAAAATGAGAGAGCAAGGTATATTGCCAAATAATTTACGTTATTTACTGACGGAAAGACTAATTCAACAAATTAATGAGACAGACTAATTAAACCTCCAGTTATCATCAAGTCTGGAGTGTTAATTGGAAATGTATTCAGCGCTTGATGGCCTGTCAGTCACATTAGGTGTTAGTCTGTCTGTCACTCTCTCTTTCTCCTGTCTTTCCCTTTCACATTTTCTTTCGGATTTTCATGAATATTGCTTCCTCTGTTTTATTTTTCACATTTTGTTTCGGATTTTTTATGAATATTAGGTTTTATCACTTCCTCTGTTTTATTCTCTCTCTTTCTCCTGTCTTTCTCTTTCACATTTTCTTTCGGATTTTTATGAATATTAGGTTTTATTGCTCTGTTTTATTATCCTTTGCTATTTTTTTCTTTCTTCGGACTTGGTTATTTACTTTCTTACTTAGTTACTTATTCGGTTTATCGTTTATTCACTCCTATCATTCACTCACTCGCTCTATCTCCGACTCACTCACTACCTCCTTCTGTTAGTCACTCCTCTCCTACCACTCACTCCTTCCTTCCCTCCCCTCCTCATCTCTCACTCACTCTCTTTTTCCCTCCCCCTCACTCACTCACTCTTTTTTTTTCATTCCTCCTCCCTCCTTTATCACTCCTCCCCACTCTCTGCCATTCCCCCCACTCCTCCCTCCTTCCTCATCTCTCACTCACTCCCTCTACCACTCGCTCTCCTTTTCCACTCCCTCCTTCCCTCCCTTTATCACTCCCTCACCCCCACTCACTCCCTCACCCCCCCACTCACTCCCTCACTCCCCCACTCACTCCCTCCTCCTCCTCCCCCACCACTCACTCCCTCACTCCCCCCCACTCACTCCCTCACTCCCCACCACCACTCTCTGCCCCCCCCCACTCTCTGCCCCCCCCCCACTCACTCACCCCCCCACTCACTCCTCACTCCCCCCACTCCACTCCCTCACTCCCTCACTCCCCGCCACTCACCCCTCACTCCCCGCCACTCACTCCCTCACTCCCTCACTCCCTCCTCCTCCTCCTCACTCCCCCGCCACTCACTCCCTCATCCCCACTCACTGCCCCCCCCCACTCACTCCCGTAGTAGACGTGGTCCTTCCTCATACCCCGACAGGCGTTGAAGACGGTGAATCTCTCGGGCTCGGACCTCTCCATGTCCTTGTACGTCTTGGTAACGTCTTCGCAGTCACCTTCGCCGTCGTCGTCGTGCCGCCCTACGGCCTTGGTCATTATCGACCTGCACATTGGGAACCTGCAGGAGGGGACGGCGAAGGGGAGGTGTTAGCTCGAGGGGCGCTAGGCTTGTCTAACTGGGTGTAATCGCATATAGACCGAATCAGAAGAATATAGCATGTCCAGACATCCTATCTATCTATCTATCTATCTATCTTTTTATCTATCTTTTATATCTATATCTATCTTTTTATCTATCTATCTATCTATCTATATCTATCTATCTATCTTTTTATCTATCTATCTATCTTTTCTATCTATCTATCTTTTTATCTATCTATCTATCTTTCTATCTATCTATCTTTTTATCTATCTATCTATCTTTCTATCTATCTATCCTTTTTATCTATATCTATCTATCTATCTCTATCTATCTATCTTTCTATCTATCTATCTATCTATCTATCTATCTTTTTATCTATCTATCTATATCTATCTATCTATCTCTATCTATATCTTTCTATCTATCTATCTTTCTATCTATCTCTATCTATCTATCTATCTATCTATCTATCTATCTATCTATCTATCTATCTCTATCTATCTATCTATCTATCTATCTATTCTATCTATCTTTTTATCTATCTATCTATCTTTCTATCTCTCTCTCTCTATACATATATATCTGAACTCAGACCCACAGACGAGACAACAACAACAACAGTAACCACCACAACAACAACAAAACAAATCGTACGAATCCCAAACCAAAACCGAACCCGAGGAGGAGCCTCGCCCTCGCCGTGCCGCGCTTACCTGTACTGCCTGTAGTGCGTGTAGCCCCACTCGGAGTCGTCGTCCTCGTAGAAGTATCTGACGAAGGTGTTGAGGGCGGAGAAGAGGGCGGAGGTCTCGTAGGAGTAGCCAACGTCTCCCTTCTTCACCGCCTCGGCAGATGATGGGCCACAGCCGTTGGAGTACCCTGGGGGGGCGCAGGAGGGAAGGGGAGAAGAGGGAGGGAAAGAGAGGGAGGGAAAGAGAGGGGGAGGAGGAGGGAGTGAGAGTGGGGGGAGAAGAGGGAGGAGAGAGGAGGGAGTGAGAGGGGGAAAGAGAGGGTGTGAGAGAAGAGGGGGGAGGAGAGGGAGGGAGAGAAGGGAGGGAAAAGATGAGAGAGAGGAGGAAAGAAGAAGGAGAGAGGGAGAGAGAGGGTGAGAAGGAGGGAAAAGAGAGAGAGGGTGAGAAAGAGGGAAGAGAGAGAGAGAGAGAGAGAAAGGAGTGATTAATATTCATATTTCTTCTCCTCTCTGATATCTTTGTTTCCATTTCATTTACTTATTCTCCGTTTGGGAATGACTTTCCCTTTCATTTACTTATTTTCCCTTTCTTTATCATTTTCCTACCCTACGCATTCCTCACTCATGGTAAACAATCTCAATTCACACAGTCACAATCTCCCTCCGGATTGTCCACTCTATCCCACTCTATCCCCTCCTACTCTCTATCCCTCTCGGTAAGATGTCATACTCACTGTCCCTGAAGTAAGAGCGGGCGGGGTCGAGTGCCTGCCAGCCCGAGTAGCCTGAAGGGAGGTCAGGTCGGGTCATCCAAACGTCACACCAGGTATGGAAAGCCCACACGGCGTCAGGCTGATCACGGCCGGGACCACGCTCGATCTGAGGGGAAGAGGGAGATAAGATAAGAGGATGAATATAGAGAAAAGGGAAGGGGGGGAGTCAGAGATGATAGATGGAGATGGATAGATATAGACGTAAAGGGAAGGAAAATGGTAATAGATAGATAGATAGATTGATAGAGAGAGAGAGAGAGAGAGAGAGAGAGAGAGAGAGAGAGAGAGAGAGAGAGAGAGAGAGAGAGAGAGAGAGAGAGAGAGAGAGAGAGAGAGAGAGAGAGAGAGAGAGAGAGAGAGAGAGAGAGAGAGAGATAGAGAGAGAGAGATAATAGATAGATAGAGAGAGAGAGAGAGAGAGAGAGAGAGAGAGAGAGAGAGAGAGAGAAAGGAAGAAGAACTAAATAAACAATGAAAGCAAAACAGAAAGAGCCATAGCCAAATCATGTTTCTTTTAACTCGTGGAAAAGATAAATTGAACATCTAGAAAAATATAAAAATAGTTTACATTTTCTGCATGAAATAGAAAACGAGAGACAAAAAATCGGTGAAGTTATGTCTTAATATGAACCGTAAGTAATGATTTTTTTTCTTTGCTCTTTGTTAACAACGATTCGATAACTAACATTATTATGATATGTCTTCCACTAAGAGAAAAAAAAATAGTCTTTGTCATTCTTTATTATTCATACGTATCTGATGTAAGGCTTAGACAAATGTAATTTAGGTCTGCATGTCAAAGATATAAAAAAATTGATATTGTTTTTTTTCTCCTTTGTATGTTGAAGTGTCGATTTACATTTATCAAAGCAAGAGAAAGAAAATATTCTGTAATGCACAAATTCCATGGATTCTGAACACAAATTCCACTTCAAGTATTGCGTTTGGAACAAATAGATAAGTGGATATGTATGTATATATATATATATATATATATATATATATATATTATATATATATATATATATATATATATATATATAGAGAGAAGAGAGAGAGAGAGAGAGAGAGAGAGAGAGAGAAGAGAATAAGGAAGCAGACAGAAAGACTAAAAAAAAAAAAAAAAAAAAAAAAAAAAAAAAAAAAACAGACAAACATATACATACACAAAACATCAATTCAAATTTCGATGTTTGAGAATAATAAAAAAAAAACAATAAAAAACAATCCAAAAAAATACCCCCCCCAAAAAAAAAAAAAAAAAAAAAAGACACAACACCCAAAGACCCCAAAGACCCCGCACCAACACCAACAACACCACACCATACTCACGATGTCACCGAAGCGATCCACATAACGGTCGATAGTGAGGGTATCCTGGGTCTCGTGTGCTGACGTGATGACCGTGGTTGGGCGAGCGCTCATACCCAGGGTACGCAGGACTGGAGAGAGGGAGAGAGAGAGAGGAGAATAAACGGGTGGATAGAGGAGAAAGGAGAATAAACGGGTGGATAGAGGAGAGGAGAGAGATAGAGAGAAGGGAGAATAAAAAGGATAGAGGATAGTAAACGGGATAGAGGAGAAAGGGAGAATAAAAAGAATAAACGATGGATAGAGGAGAAAGGAGAATAAAAAATGGATAGAGGAGAAAGGAGAATAAACGATGGAAACGGAAGGAGAGAGGAGAATAAACGGGTGGATAGAGGAGAGGGGAGAGGGAAGAGAAGGAGAAAAACGGGTGGA